AAAAATTTCCCATCCTTCTTCCATCCACAGGAAGAAAGTCCCCTCCCGACACCCAACCCCACTCCGACCCTCAGCTACTTCATACACATTCCCCAAGCCTCTATACTCCTCAGCTCAAGACAGGAAGCAGCCTGGGCTCCAGCTGTGCATTCTAAGAGGGAGGAAGTCACCTTCCTGCCTCCAGCCTGTCTGCCTTTATTCAATGGCTCTAGCAAAAGCAAAATCTAGGAGAGCAAAAACCTATTTCTATGCCAGTTGATTTGATCAGTGCAGGGAGTACAGGTATAACCTCACATGTGGGAGGCAGGGCCGACAGAGCATAGGAGCTCTCCAGAGATACCCTGAGCTCCTCAGTCAGGCAGTGAGGGGCTCATCTAAAGAGCAGACAAGGAAGACAGACCCTTGTGAAGTTCCACACTTGCTGTAACTCCACAGCTGAAGACATAGGAAAATGAATTTGGCCATTTCATGTGAGCAACTGTGAGCAACTGCAACGCTAATGCAGCAAACAGACGCTGGTGTTGCAGAATGAGAACGAGGGGGAAATGTCTCCCTTGCCTCCTTCTCCACCCTTCCCCTCCCCTCCCCTCCCCTCCCCTCTCCTCCCCTCCCCTCCCCTCCCCTCCCCTCCCTTCCCATCCCCTCCCAGTCCCTCCCCTTCCCTCCCTTTCTCTTCTCCTTCCCTCCTCTCCCCTCCTGGCTTTGCCTACCTTCCTCTCCCCTCTCCTCCTCCTCTTCTTCCTCTCCTCTCCCTAAGACAGGTCTCACACTGGGCTGGAGCTTATTTGTTGCTCAGGCTGGCTTCTCTAATCCTCTGCCCCAGCCTTCTGAATCCCCGAGTGCTAGGATTACAGGCGTGAGCTATCCCGCCTGACTTCTCCCTGTGCTGTGATGGGGCACAAGACCTTGGCCGTCCATGAAGGCGCAGCACTCATTCTGGACCACAGGATCTGAGAGTGCAGTACAGCTGTCTCCAAGTGAGAGCTGTCAACCAGAGGCACAGAGAGTATAGTTGAGAATGAGCAGAAAGACTGTGGCCATATCCCCGAGTGGCAAAGCTCCACACCATAGGCACAGCTCAGCACCCTGAGCGGCGGGGCTGCGGGGTTCTGAAAGCTCCTTGGTGGAGCTGACTGCAGCTGTGTTCTCTGCTCCCCAAGGAGATCCCGTCACTGCAGCGTGACTCGTTATCATTAGAGCAGATTTACTGCAGGGAGCAATATTTACCTTTAAAAATAAAACGGCGAGGAGGGATTTGCTGCTTGTCGCTTAATAGATTAATGTTCACTAGGTTCCTGATTGCAGCTTTCCTTTGCAGACACACAGCTCAGAGACTGACTGTGCTCAGGGGAGTAGCCCCGGGGTGAGGGTTCTCTCAGGTGAGGACACACGGCGGGACAAGATAATCCTCCTGGGGTTGGTAAGTTTTATCCTAACATGACGGTACACTGTCCACAACTGTGTTTGTGTTAAACAGTAAGAAAGAAGTCGCTGGAGCAGAAACCACAAGGCCTGCCTGCACTGCCGCAAGCGTCTACCATTACAGGACTTGACATTCCCCAGTATGGGTTATACTGTGTCTTAGAATCAGTACATAGACCTACAGGAAGAGTTTCTGACTTAATGTCAGTTTAAATTCAACGAGCCTGTTGATTCACAGCATTAAACCCACATTTTAGCAATGAATACTTAACTGGACACTGAGTTCCTTGAAACAGAAAAGGAGTACAGTTTCCCCCACTGTGAATGCTGAACACACAGTCCTAGATCCCAGCTAGCTACTCCCCTCTGATTACTCTATGCTTAATGCTTAAGACCACACACATTTACTATGAGCTAATTAAGCAATTCGCTTATGTATTTAGTTTTCCAACACTGGTAAATTCTTCCTGAGTACTAGGCACTCTTTGCCTTGTGCTTTTATGCTCAGATGGTGAGACCTACCAGCACCCTACATGGCATTGCATGGGACCAAAAACTTTTCCATAGTGACATGCGGGACCTTACAGAGGATTCCTGATAAAGTGTCTACATTGGAGAAGTCACACCAGGGAGTTGTCACAGTCAGGTTGACACCTGTTCTGTTTGCTGTTAGTTACTCTTTAAGAGATCAAGCAAGGTCATCTTTGTCATTCTCTGTCTTCACTCCTGTGTGAAGGCTTTTGACAGGGAAGGGGCTGACCGAGGGAGAAGCTGGAGCAGTCATCTACAGACTCATCTTCCCCCAAACGCCGCTGGATGGAACTCTAGAGTGTGGGCCCTGTCTCTCCCACTGTCGGAGGGCCTGGGTGTGAAGAAAGAGGCTTATTGCTAACCACGGCTTGATAAGGAGCAGGTGGCATGTCAGGCACACAGAGACCTTGGTGAGAAACCAAGTACTGGTGTCTTTTTCCCAGCAACAGAAAATAGACCACCCTGCTTCTTAGTTTTTGCCCTCACTTCTGTGGCTGAGCCTGGATGTCAGGCTGTGCACACTGACCAACCAGTAGGGAGTACAGAGGCCACTTCTACTGAAGGTTTTAAAACTTTTTATACATAAACTTGTTTTTAAAGATTTTATTTGTGTGTGTTTATGTGTGTGTGTGTGTGTGTGTGTGTGTGTGTGTGTGTGTGCCACATATATAGGTGCCTGTGGATGCCAGAAGGTGTCAGGTACCCTGAAGCTGGAGTTACTAGCAGATGTGAGTTGCCTGACATGGGTGTTAGGAACCAGACTCATGTCTTCTAGAAAAGCTGCAAGTGCTCTTAACTGTTGAGCCATCTCTGCAGTCATATTGACCAGTCAGCCTTTAAAGATGCAGGTGCCAGGACTCCGTGAAGGCTCCAGGACAAAGCTGCAGATGCTCTCTGTGACTTCACCGAGGGACCGTCACCCTCTGCCCTGGGCACCCCCATCAGTGGCTCTTCCAATTGATTCGACCAGTTAGACCCACTGAAATCTCCAGTTGGCTAGACACTTGAGGAATTGCTAAGGTTTTTCTGTGGCCCCATGTTTTTGCTTTTTGAATTGACTCAAGGTAATGGAACTGAGGTACAACCAAGAAACTATCGCAACCTGATGGAAGAGAGAGTTGTGATTGAGACACAGCCGCCAAACCCTCAGATCCGAACACCAGAGGGGTGCTGTGCAGGGAGATCCTGCTTCTCGACACGAAGCTAAGCAGGACTCATAGCAGTTACCTGGTCACCTGGCTGTGACACCTGTATGCTGGGGCCAAGACATACACATTTTCCTTTTCGTTGTCCAGCTTGCCTCCCTCTCAGACTCACAGCCATGAGTGGCTATGATCAGCTATTGATGGGTTCTGGGCTGGATACATTCACACCAAGGCTGTTCATTGTGGGTCTTTTTCACTACACTGTCTGTGATAGTTACCACTGACTGGCAACTTGACAGGATCTAGAACCACCAGGAAGCCACACCCCTGGCATGTCTGAAGGGAGTTTCTGAACTAGGTTATGTGAAATGTGGGTGGCTCCTTTCCACGGGTTGGGATCCTGGACTGAACGGAAAGGGGAAAGAGAGTGGCACTTCAGGGTTCATCTCTGTCTGCTCCCCGACTGAGGAGGCCGTGTGACCAGTCGCCTCATGGGACTGAAGCCACACTTTCCCCATCACAATGAACAGGATGTTCATACCGTGAACTAAACTAAACTCTTCCTTCTTTGAGTTGTTTTATCCGGTACTTTGTAACAATAAGGAAAGTAACATATACGCCATCCTAGCAACTCACAGGGATTTAAATATCTCAGTTTTACCTATTTGGGTCCATGAAGACCTTGCATGTCAAACTGTCAAGGCTCTGTGAGCTTCCCCATGCTGACACGGTTACTGGGACACAGCTTCATAATGATTGACAGGTTCACTTTCTCCATAAACCTCTAAGAATGAGGGCAAGTTTCCAGAACAACGTATAACAAAGTGTGTCGCTCTCATGACTGCCATGCAGTTCTCTGAGGAGCTTCGTCTATGCACATGGTTACATGGGTGGCAACTCTAAGCACACTGGCTATGAGAACTAAGAATGTATTATGGGTTGGGTATACTCTGGTGCCCAAGATGCATATGCTGAGGGCTTGGTCCCCAGGTAGTGACATCATCAAGTGATGACTGACTCACAAGGATGCTGCTGTCATTCATGGAATAATCCATCCACAAATTCCTAGGCAGATGCATCAAACAGTAGGTGTGTGCTGTTTGGGGGAGCTGGTTCACTAGAGGCATGTCACTGAAGGATGGTCTCACCAGGGTGCCACCCCACCACCCAACTCCTTTACAGGTGTCACCACCACACACCATGCCATTTCTGCTTCCCCATGAGCTCAGAAATGAAGGAGCAGCCACCATGGATGGAAACCTTTGAAACCTTGAGCCCAGAGGAACTCATTCCTGGTTATGTTGTTTTCCAATGCTTTGTCATAGTGAGGGAAACCTGCTGAGTGCACTATGACATTCCATTTGTGAGTGTGCATGTGTGTGGTGATGTGCTTGTCTGTGCACACACATGTGAGGGGTCAGAGGCTGAGGTTGTGTCTTCTTCTATCACTCTCTAAGTTTTTTTTTTTTTGAGACAGGGGCTCTTGCTGAACCCAGAACATTCTGTTTTAGCTAGACTGGCTAGCCCAGGAGTCCCCATGGTCTGCCTGCTTCCATGCCTACTGCTGGTAGGACAGATGTGCATTGCTACACTTGGCTTTTTCACAGGTTTGTCAGTTCAAACTTGGTTCCTCATGTTTGTATAGCAAGTACTTTATACACTAAGCCATCTCCCCAATTCACCATGGTCCATTTTTATAAAATGAGAATTCTCTATCTAAAAAGAAATAATAATTTTATATAATCAGATACTTTAGTACATTTATCTAAAACTTAATCTCTCTCTCTCTCCCGCCCCCCCCCCCACATGTGGGCATGCCCCAGATATTATTCAGTGATAAACAGTTTAGAAAACATTAATTTAGTAAAATTCAAAATATGGCGTTGAACCCGGCTTGCTTACCAGCTGCTGGCCTTTCGGACCCCACCCTGCATACTGAAGCTTTGCATTGCTGACTTCTGGTGGGTCCAGACTCTGAGGGTCCCTGAGGAAACAGACAGACAAACAGAAACAAAGCACAAAGTTGGGAACCAAGAACATACTGCGCTTCCCCTTAGCCTCTGCTGGGGTCTCACTCTTTCCCCATCTCTTGGTTACTGAACAATACGTCTCACTCAGCTTCCACCGCATTTCAGCAGATGTACATAATTTATGTGAAGCTGAAATACGTCCACTGCTACTTAATTCAAATGGTAAATATTCATCAGGAGAAAACATGCAGAGAACTATATAGACCAATTTTTAAAATGTCCAGGGCAGTTAAAATTAAACGAAACCCACAGCCAAGCAGCAATAAATCCCACACCCGATGTCTTCATCGCTGGCTTTCCCTGCAGATAATTCTTTTCTAAGTATGAAGCCGGGTCATCCTGACCTTCGAAAGCCAGTGGCCTCAGGATGAATTGTATTCTCTCATGATACAGAGAATGAGAAAGGGAGGAGAGTCGGGAGAGGGAGAGAAGGGGATGAATTGAAAGATGTTTTTCCTATTCAACGTTTCTTGCATTTTTCATTCCTTTTTATTTTGGGTACTTTCCAATTGTGCCTACATGGGAGTCATCTTGTAGATATACACGTGTATGAGCTGTGTATGAATGTATACATGCTTAGCTATGTGTGCACGTATGCATGTGCAGGTAGGAGCCAAAGGTTAATGTCGGATGTCTTTCCTAATTTTTGAGTCAGAGTCTCTCATTATCGGGAACCTTGTCAGTCTGGCTGGCCTGGCTGGCCTGGAACCTCGTGCTGGGATCGCAGGCACGTGTACTTTGCTTTTACCTGGATGCTGAGTAAAATTCTTATGCTTTCTTAGTAGCATTTTACTGACTGAGCTGCCTTCCAAGCCCCATTTGTTTTCATTCTTAATTTACGGATATAGAAAATACATTGACAACCAAATACTGTCTCTATATTCAAATGTCCTAATAAATCAAAGCCATGGTAAAACACCACAAAAAACAGGTAGAAAGAATGGTCTTCATATTTCTTTGGGGTACCACCCCACTTGTGGAGTGGCATCCATTTTCTTGGGGAGCTAATGGCCAAGGGAGCACCTGCCCTAATGTCATAGTTCCCTCATTGAAGCCAGAGCCATGAAAGTGCTGGTTTATGAATAAAGAAAGAACAGGTGAATGGTCACCTGTCTTTGGGAAAGGAAGGCACCGACTGAGTTTTAAAGGTTTTGCAAAGGGGCGGGGGCAGAGGGAAGAAATGTGAAATATGTCTTTAAGTGATCAGGCTTCCAAACACAGAAAATTCCAGAGTAATTTGAACAACACTGCAAGAATCAAGACAGACAAACAAAACCAGGAAGAAATAGAGGAGGAGAAGATGGGGAGGTGAGGTTCCCGAGGGCCTCAGGGGAGTATGAGGACAGGAGACAAGAGGTTCAGATGTGGGGAAGGCAGCTGGGACAACAGTCTTCAGGGAAGTAGAAAAGCTAGGAGACACGAGGGATCTGGACATTGCAGATTACAGATGGGTTCTTAATAAGCTCCAGACCCTGACTTCCTCCCGCCCCTGTGTGTGTGTGTGTGTGTGTGTTGTTGTATGTGTGCGTGTGTGTGTGTGTGTGGGGGGGTTGTATGTGTGTGTGCCTACAGAAACCAGAGGAGGACGTTGGATCACTGGAGTTGGAGTTGCTAGCAGCTGTGACCTTTCCTAGATGGGTGCTGAGAACCACACTCTGGTCCCCTGAAGAGGAGCCTGTGCTCTTAACTGCCTTTGCTGCTAAGGCACTGCTCCAGCCCAGAGAGTAGGGTTTGAATGTTATACCATTGTAAGAAAGGCTATGTGAAGTGATGGGGGTGCTAGTGAACACAAGTTATCAGTCTGTAGTATACTGACAAAGCAAAAAATCATCTAAATATCCTAAAATGCACATTTATCATTTATTAGTTTAGTCCTTCCGTTCCCTCTAAATACTGTTAGACAGCAAAGTATAGCGAGGCTGTTAAAGAGAACCAAGTTTTCCAGAGACCAGGAGAGTGATTTGTGATGGTGGACAGAAGTCTCAGAAGAGCAGGTTCAGCCTGCTAGCTGTGTCTTACGGGGATTTAAGAGCATATACAGGCATGAAGTCATTTGTGAAAAAGAAGTCAGTCGAGTTGGCCAGCTAGCTGGGGGTTGGGTGGAAAGTGTGGAAGGAAGTCTGGGGTTAGGGAGGGTGGCATTTCTCAGAGCTCCTGCTTTCAACCAAATTAACCGAGACTCTGGTGTCCCCTCAGGAGGTGGAGACATGGACTCCTTTATCTTGGGAAAGCCAAGAGAAATGGTCAGTACTGAGTCAACAGCACTCCAGTGGGTGCTAAGTCAACAGCACTCTGAAGATACAGGTCTCTCCTTTCTCCTAGCTGGCGAGGCTCTTCACCCAATGACTCCAGGATTTCCCTAATGAGCCACCCATTGGGGTGGCAGCCATCCACTCAGTGTGTCCTCAAGGAGAGGAAGCCAGGAAGTGGTGGGTTTCCATCACTAATAGCACCGAGTTTGAACCAATAGAGTAACTCAGCCTAAGTACCTTTTCCTCGTGTGTGAATTGGGAATATTAATGCGTGCCTTGTGGATAACGTTCAGCAATGCACCATACATGGAGATGGGCAGCACGGGGCTCCCGCAGCCATGTTCCAGAGATGTCAGCTTAATCCTTGATAAAATGACAGGTAATTAATTTGGCCACACATTATAATGCGTATGTGTGTTCTTAGCTTTTCATTTAATTAGTTGGACCAGTGGGTTGGGTACTGATAAAGTGTTATTGTAATGACTATTTATATGAAAGTTGTTTAAAACGGCCAATCACTTATCAGACATAAAGACAAATTTGTTCTCTGGGACTCAGCAGTGAAAGCAAATCAGTGACCCCCTAAGAGTGCAGGTGACAGGAAACCAGGCTTAGGGTTGCCACCCCATCACCTACACTTGCTATGATGAAGTAAATATCTTGATTTTCACTCTTGGATCCCACGACATCAAGTTGCTTTGCTTTCTAGTTAAAAGAAGGCTTTCGGGTGACTCTCCCAGTGTCCCTCCACTGGGTATTCTTCCTGGTTCAGTAAATATTCTAAAGTTTCTCCTCATCTGTCCGGACCCCTGCATGATAGTGGTTCTTGTACAATCCTGCCCAGTCTTGCAAACACAAGGTTTCCACTGAACATGCCCTTATGCCTTCACACATGGGCCATGGAGAACCACAGTAGAGCTACACGGAACCGCTGTGTGTGTGTGTGTGTGTGTGTGTGTGTGTGTGTGTGTGTGTGACTCAGTTGGTAACTGACCATTGTCACAGCATTCTGGATTCTCACTTTCACCCAACTCCTTCTTCTCCGTTTGTCTCCTCTGTGTGGGACAAGCACATGGCCCTGTGCTCACCTTCAGGAAGAACCTTCCACTCCTTTGTGCGTGCTGAGGGTTGGACACTGCACCCAAACAGAACTCCTCTACAAGGTCAGATCCACCTACACCTGAGTTTCCCACTGCCCAGTCCTGCTTCTTACCTCTGTCCCTTTGCAGCTGAGACAACATGCTGTGGCCTGGAGACTTTTCCTCCTCAGTCGCTGGTCCCACTTTTTTTCTCTACAGACAACATTCCTGAACCCTCTGCCTTCTCCCCACCAGCATACTGAAGACCCCACTGGCTTTTCTGGCTATCACATCTTCTCAAGACACCCTGGTCCCTCAGCATCTGGGAAGCATCTTCTTGGGGCCAGGATTATTTTCCTTTGCACTTTCCTTCTGGGAAACTTTTATCATTGCTGTGCTTTAAATCATCCTAAGTGCTCACAAGAGTTGACAATAATGCACCCATGTTATTACCATCCCATCTAGGCCTTTGCATTTATTATCATCAATTTGCTACCTCTCACTGAATCCCGTGACTGACTCTGGGGCTCGCCTTCTGCCTCACCTCACGGTGCCAGTACCACAGGGATTTCACTGCTTGCTCCCTTTGCTCTCACATCCCTGCTCTGGCAGCTACTATCTTCTCAGCTCCTGGTTCTACCTGTTCTAGAAGGTCCCACATCTGCAGTCTCTTCAGAATGGCCTCCTTTTTTAAGATGACGAATTCAAGCTCTCAGGTTAGGCTTGTTTCCAGGACTACACTCACCACTCACTCTCACGGCCCTCCTTCTGTCTTCTTCATGCTCCTAACCCTCCAGGGTCCCTGAACCAACTAGACAAGACAGCGAATGGAAGCACCTCATCCGACCAGCACCCGTCCACATCTGGGCCTGGCTGGATTCTTACCCACACATCTTTTTAATCCCCACCCCATAGTTAACTGGGACTGGGGAGAGAGTTCAGTTGGTAAAGTGCCTGCTGTAGAAGCGTGAGGACGGAGTCCAGATCCCCAGCATCTATGTAAAAGTTGGGTGTGGAGGCACATGCCTGTGACCCCATCACTGGGGAGGAAGAAATAAGAAGATCTCTGGGCTTGTTGGCTAGCCAGTGAGTTCTGGGTTCAGTGTGAGAGTCTGACTCAAACAAATGAGAGGGCCCAGCTTCCTTTGTCACATAGAAGACCATAGCAGTAACCTCTGATGAATACCCAAGGAGTCAGATGCATATCCAAGCTGTGGCCTATGGGCCACATGCCGGCAGGCATAGCTACGAATGCAGACCGACACAGAGCTCATGAACTTACTTAAAACATTATACATATTCATTTATATTGTGTTTTACAACTTGATTATGTGATTTTTGAGTATGAGCTTTAGATGACAATGACAGCATAGGATCCCAGTGTTAAAATGTTGAACATGGCTGCCAGCCCAGCCCGTGGTCCCTACCTTGTACTGGGTTATTCTGAAATTTTTAGTGTGTATGTAAGAGGGGAAGGGCACAAAGGAACTTGCTTATTAATTTGGGGGCTGTCTAATGCCCTCCCCAATCCCCCCTCCTTTATCTTTCTTTACTCATTTATTCTAAAGAACGTGCATTGGGCTCCGTGATGAATCATCTCTGGGTAGAGATGGATTGGTAAAA